TATAATTGAAAGAATTAATTTTTACTTTAGAGTGGTGATGTTTACCACATTATATATACTATAACTAGTTCATTAGAAGATATTTTTCTTTATATAATTACAATTGAGATTTATTGGAGTTTCTTTCGTAATCAAATCTTGAAATTAAATTTGGCTTTTGAGAGATTGTTTGGTTTGTGGGATGTAATTAGTCAAATAATTAAATATATATCACTTTCTTTTTGTAGAGATTTTTCTTCCAAATTTTGTATGATGCAAAATTTATAAATTGGAATTTTTACATGATTACTCATGGTGTAAGAATCAATAATATTTACTACCACAATATTTGCATAAATAATGCAATTAAGTAAATTAAATTATTCACCTACTAATTTTCCTTCTATAGGAGAAAGTTTTTTTTTTTTTTTGAAAGTTACTCCCAATTACAAAAGTTTTCATTAAAAAATCTTGAAATTAAATTTGGTTAAAGAAATCTTTGTTTTATGGAAAGTAATAAGTCAATTAAGTATCCTTTTTGTATTGAAATTTGCTCAATGTTTTTACAAATCTCGTATTATGCAATAGTTAAAAATTGAGATCTTTACATGATTAGTGATGGTGTAAGAATCCATTAATTTTTTCCTTCGATGACGTGTATCCACAGTGGAGCCCAATTAATTTAGATTTGCGTCGCGTAAGGCCCATTTTGAGAGTAGTGCTATTTATGGATTTTTTATATCCAAGCCTCAAACCCGAAATCTCTGATTAAAGAAGGAGCGACCCCCCATCTACTACATCACATTATTTGATGATTTTGATATAAGAATCACTTACTTTGAATACCATCATTTTGAATATTCAATTCTTTTCAATAACACACAATGAATTATGTGAATTCAAAATTACTTTTTTCGTTTTATATTACTTGAGCTTGTTGACCGGGTTTATTCTACATTAAACTAATCTTATTAACAATGATTGAAACTCTAAAAATAAGTCCCTATTTAGTATTTAGCACATCACTTAAAAATAATACTATTTCATAGAAAAAAAAGATATTTTGATTAAATTAGGTAAGCCAATACAAATAAATCTTTTATAACATTTTTAATGTTCACCACATTTGCATTCCCCTCCAACACAAATTGGAAATACATTCGTACATTTCTTTTCATCGACACATTCTGACGAACCGTTACACGTACGAATCTTATCACTTGTCACCGCGTCTGAAAAATAATTATAAAACTCGTTAGCATCTTGAAAGAACATAATTTCGAGAGTATTATAGTTATACACACACAATGTCTAAGTTTATATCTCATATATATTAGGTGTGACTTCTTATGGTATAATTTATGTCAAATAAGCGCTTGAGAAAAAGAGAGAAATATACCTTCAGGATGACATCTGCATACACCTCGTAGACACATTGGATGTCCAGTATGGCATACCATAGGAAGACAATCCGATACGGTATTACACGTGATCTCACTTATCACAACATCTGAAAATTATAAAACTTGTTAACATCTTGAACACATAATTCTAAAAGGATTTAGTTATAATAAATTGTTGTGAAAAAAAGGGTAGACTAACCTTGTGAAATAACCAAGAAGGTAGCTACCAAAAACACAGTCAATACCAAACTCTTGACCATGTTATGTGAATAAACTAATTTTTTACTTTAGAATATGATTCTGACCACCACATTTATATAGTATGCATAGTCCATGACCAAATCTTGAAATTTTATTTATTAGTGAGTCAAAAAGTGATTTTTTGTCTATGGATAGTTGACCAAAGAAAATATGTCTATTGCATAAATAACTTACCTTGTTATTATTTTTTTTGGTGCGTGGAAAGTTGGTCAATATAGAAATTTGTTTGCAGTTATGAGTGGCATAGGCGGTTTGGACTAAATTAATTCGGTTAAAATGGGCTAATTAATCAATAAATCACAATTTAATTCGTTCAAGACATATCAATTTTTATTAGGAGTGACAAATTGATGATTACTAAAATAAGTTGGATCAAGATGGACTATATCGATATATGAGTCATCGCCTAATTCTGCCTAAAATAATAAACGATGAATCATAGCCCAACTTGACCTATCATTTTTTTCTCCCAGCCCTAGCTGTTATTATGCATTTTTATACTCTTCTATTAAGAGATATTTTGTCTAACTTTTGTCTAATTTACATGAATATGTAGTTATATTGTTATTGTAAAATAAATTAACAATCATAGCGTTAGCATTCCCAAATTTTATTCTTTGTTTACGACTTTACACGTATGTATCAAGTTTTTTAACGATGAGGTTATACATACATCAGTATAACAAAGAGTATATTTGTTCTAAATTACAAAGTCAAAGGATATATTTATTCTTTTTTTCCTTTAAATCATGACAAATAAATCAGATTAAAGAGAGTAACTTAAGATCTAAAATAAAAAAAGAAACAAAAAATTCAAATCGCAACCATCTAATTATTTTATTGCAATTTTTTCATCATGTAAACAATACCAAATGAGACATTTTTAGGTTCATGACTAGCCTAAAATTCTTTTTAATACTTGCCGCTTGAACCACTATCTTCATGATCAATAGAGTGTGTGTTGAGTGAACTGCATACACATGTTCCATCAACACAAACACATTTTGGGAACATATCTTCATGACTCGTACAATCTTCTGTTGTGCTACATTTTCTTAAGCCTGTCGTCACATCTAAAAAGTTACAAAACAATTGTTAGCATTTTATAATATGTATCGACAAAGTAAAGGACTACAAAATCAATTGATCTGAAGGAAAAATGATAAGAGGAAAAAAAAAATAGACTAACCACAAGAAACAATCAAGAAAGAAACTACAAAAAGTGCCATAATCGAAGTTTTGTCCATCTTTATGTAAAATAATAAAACCTTTAAGAAATTTAGAGTGTTTCTTAGTTTTTATTATGTACAACCTTATATAGTATTTAGCATTGAGAAATTGCAAAAGAAAAAAGTTATTACAATAGTCTTATTTTAGACTTTTAGTGATTGTATTTTGTAAATTTCTAAATTTGGTTAATTGGTCAACAAAATTCTTTGTACTATATGGAAAGGTTAGTCAAAGAAATATAAATATTCTATTTATTAATCATATTGAAGTTTTTGATCCAAAATTTTAAAATGGAAATTCCATTACACATATATATTATATATAATACCATCCTAAAAAAAAACCAGAAAAGGATAAAAATTAAAAATGTCTTTAAAGTATGTGATACTCATTTAATTTGCTCTTCCTTAGTATATGGGTAAAAATTAAAATAATTTGGTTAAATTATAGTGAGTTTTGATCTCACCAAGTGAACAAAAATCCTAGGCCCATTACTTAAAAACCCATCTGTGATATGTTTGGCCCACAATTGCAAGAAGGTAAATGAAGTTACGGTCGCGTGTCGGTTGGTTTCATTTGGTTTCTGAGGTTTACTAGGTTATTGATTTGTAGATATGCTAAATCATTTTACAATCATTAAAATATTGACTTATCAGTTATTGGTATATCGATTATTGATTGTTATTGATTTGGTTATCGATTTAACCGTTAAGATTTGATACAAGAAAATGTTTTAGAAACAAGATGAGAAATCAAATGAGTTATGCACATGAGTTGAATAATCGAGAATTTGAGACACTCAAAAATAAAAGGCATAATACATAAATATGACCCTAAATTTGATGTCAGTTGACAACTATGACCTTTAACTTTGGGTGTGCACAAGTAGACACTTAAATTTGTATAAAATTGGACAAATAGACACATTCATCCTATATGGTACCCTACATTGCAATTTTGCGTCCTACGTGGCTTCCTACGTGTATTATGTCATGTAGAACACATGTGTCTATTTGCTCAATTTTATACAAGTTTAAGTGCCTACTTGTGCGCACTCAAAGTTAGAGGGCATAGTTTTCCGCTGAAGCCAAGTCATGGATCATGTTTATGTATGAGATAAGAGTCTGAAAAATAACCCAACTTTGATCGGATTTACTGTTGCGGTACTAAACTTTCATAAGGACCTATTACCTCCCTAGACTATTTAATATCGTATTTTAAACATATATATTTTTCCATGTGGACATAAAAAATAATGCAAAATTATAAATAGTAATGTGTCCACGTGGACACATATATACCTTTAAAATACATTATTTAAATAGTTCAGGGGGTAAAAAATATGGTATTAAATAGTCTAGGGAGGTAATAAGTCCTTATGAAAGTTTAGTATCGCAACAACAAATTCGACCAAAATTGGGATATTTTTCAGACCCTTATCCCTTTATGTATTATGCCAAAATAAAAGTATGAAAGTATATTCTAAGTCAAGGACTTTATCTACTAAATAGTATAAATATAATTCTTTAATTTACAATCGGGTTATTGGTTAACCCGTTGAGAAAATCTCAAATCGCTAAGAATCGATAACCCAATAATAAAAAATTATCAAAACCAATATATTGAAGGGAAAATTGTATGAAATAACAAACTATTAATTCAAAATTAAATGCTATAACTATAGTTTATTTTAATTGTAATTTGCAGCAAACATTCCATTATTTTCCCATCTGATTCGGTATACAATTAGCCATTTCGGTATACAATTAGTCATTTTATACATTTCAGTATATAAAGTGAGAGAAAAGTGTATATGCAAATACAAATACATATATTTTCGTCCTATTCACTTATAATTATACAAATATAGATCTTATTATACAAATTACAATGTGTACAAAACTAAACAATTTGTATAAAATTGAATGTTTGTAGCGAATTATACAAATCAAAAACTCCATAACAAACATAAAATTTGTTTTGGAGCGCAATTATACAAATTATAACTATAACATATAAATATGATTTTTATGTTTGCTATATATGAAAGTTGCTATATATTGAAACCGCAAACCAATGACCCATTGTTGATAAACAATAACTTTTTTTCCGTTCGAATTATCGGTTTCCGATTGAACGGCCCTAATTCATGAACCTAATCAACCCGACCCGACCCATGAGCTAATCCAAATTTAAACCCACAACCACATCAGTGAATTCGACCCGTCAAATTTCTTAAGACCAGCCGCCGGCACGCTCGTCGGAATCATCTTTGGTGAGAGTTCAGAATCACAGAATTTCGCTCGCTAGGTATTTTTCTTTCTATTTGGATTTATCAATTATGATTTTGCTCATTCTAGATAACCTAATATTGCAATGAATTTTGTTTTTTGGATAATCGTGGTGTTCGGGCTAGCTTTCGTGCAGTTCAATTGTGCAATGCTACATCTGTTCATACACCTTAGTTTTGTTCCGTGTTCATTTTGTTGGCAGAAACGATCCATCCCATTAGGGCAGGCCTGTTTCATGCTCAAAGCTGTTCACACCTTAGTTTTGGAAATGTTTTTAGGTTACATCACTTGCAAAGCTTGAATCTTTAAGGGTACAGGGAATGGGATAAACAAAGTTATCATACATATATATGATGGGATTAACAATCTCGGGACTAACTAATTTCCCTAACCAAATGCAGGATAAAATAGTCCTGCATTTTATCCCGGAATTGTTATTCTGTATCCATCGTACCAAACGACCCCTTGTAGTCTTAGTTTTGTGACTTAGGATGTACTGAGAGGATGTCTTTGTATTGCCAACAGGGCTTTGGTTTAGTGCTAAGAGAATTGAGTGATGTGGGGGTTAGGCGTACGTTACGTGTTCAAACCCTTTCGTTGGAAAAGCCTGGTATTTAAGTGGGAAAGGTTGAGGGACGAGCCCATTATCCACCACACACAGGCCGCAGGATTTTATCGGTTATGAAAAAGAAGAGAGGATATCTTATCATTGCTTCGTTGATGAAAATCTAACAGGGAAACAACTACAGTTATATAACCAAAAATGTACCAGTGCAAGTAGACAACTACTTAACCTTTTTGGTCTCACTTGAAACAGTGCAGTATTTCTTGTGTTTCTCATGATGAGTTGCCTCCCTGCTTTTGTTTTCTACTCCAATTCATTTTTATCTTAATCTAGACATATTGATGGATGGTGTCACTTCTAGTTCAAACCTCAACAATGTTTCTTTGACATTGTTGCTTCATCCTTCTCTTTACTTTCCTTCCTTCTGAATGCTTTAATCTTTTTCATCCTTGCAATCGATCATTTGACTTGAGAATATCTGAGCTGCATCAGTTCAACTCCATTAATTTATCAATCAACCTGGTTGGAGAGTCTGGCCATTTTGTGAGGTCCAAATCAATCTAGTTATACTTTGAACATGCCTCCCTAAAAAGTTGTCTTGAACATATCACACCATTTGTGTTGGAAGTTGGTATATCTCAATCAAAATGGATGAATGATAAGCATGGTGTATAATTCACTTGAATTTAACATTCTGGTGCAGCGAGTTCTATGAAGCGATCTAAGGATCCTTTTGAGGCTACTTTTGAGGAGCAGGATGACTCACCCCCTGAATCCCCTGCTGGCACCGATGAGAATGAAGGCCAAGATCAAGGTGCAGTTGGTGTTAATATGAATGAAGGTGACGATGTTAATACTGATTCTCGTGAAAAACCTTCAACATCTAAAGCTACATCAGTTTCTGTTAGTACTGCTGGTCCAATTAGCAAGCCCAAAGAGGAAGATGAGGAGGAAGAGGAAGAAAGCATGGATGTGCAGTTAGGAAAACTCTCATCAAGTAGTGATCCTGACAAACTGGCGAAGATGCAGTAAGTTTTGTCAGTTTATGCTTTCAAATATCTCGAACTCTTTCTCGTTTAAAGGATTCCATTCATAGAAGATTGTCAAGATTGTATGGTATTATCCTGTTCTGTGATAGCTTATGTGGCTGGTTGGACCTGCCTACTAATCACTTCGCGTACAAGAATAACTCTTTTTCTAATGATTTGTATCCCTTCCTCTCACCTTCCTTTCCTTCCTTGTTGATTTGTTACTCAGACTATTAATTTAACTCTCTTTTGTATGATTCCTTCAGTATATCTGCTCTATCATTTTTTTTTTACAAAAATATGTATCTATAACCAGCAGGTCAATGCTTCTATTGAGATCTGTGAACAGATCTCATCTTGCTTGATATGCTTGATATACTGCAGTTCAATACCAGTAGGAAATATAGTGGCTGTTAATTAATAAATTGACATTTTGTATGAGCATTGTTAAGTGAGGGCAATATGGAGAATAACTAATTTAGCTGGTATTGAAGAAACCATATAGTGGTCAAGGCCAATAAAATGGGAATTGTACATTGCAGTTATATATATACTTGTTATGCTAAAGTTTTTCTTCTGCACCTCCATGTTATACAACAATATACCTAGTATAATCCCATAAGTGGGTTCTGGGAGGGTAAGAGTAAGATGCACGTAGACCCTACCCCTACCTTTGTGGGATAGAGAAGTTGTTTCGGATAGACCCTCAGCTTAAAAGGGAAGTTATTCATAGAAGGGTTGCAAGAAGAAAACATGACAACAAAATATCAAGATACAAAGCAAAATGAAGCAACAGATAGTAAAAACACATAGAAGAATAAGAAACTATGCGGTTACTAAATATTAATACTAATAAGGAGAAGAGGATATGACATTGCCTCTCCCACCAAACGGGCGACCACACGCGGTTACGTACTAAACTTCTACTCTAATCCTCGACCTCCAAGCCTTCCTATCTAGGGTCTGCACCTCCTTGTTATGTGAGCTCAGTTTAGATTATTTTTCTCTCCTATAATCAGTAGGGCTCTACCTGGTATTAATAGTGTTTCTATGACACTACAAGAAAGGAGGTAAAATTCCTTTTGAGGCAAGGTAGATAAAGGGAGATAGACATTTGGCTTCGCAAGTTTCGTACTTGTTGTTCTATGTTGTCAAACTTTATTTGCTATCTATTTCCCATTCCTTCCAAATATGTGAAAGTATAAAAGGAGATCAATCTTCTCCTGCTGCAACGTACATTTTCAAAATATTCCTCGTCATTTGAACCCGAAATGTTTCCTGTTTCAATAACAGTTATGAGGTGATGGTTGCTTTCATCCCAAAAGAAGAAAAAAAAACCAAGAGAACAATTATGAAGCAATGTGAATTAAAGGTTGTGATTTCAGATGTCATTCACAAGTAAAGCAGAACCTCTTATATGAAGCAATCGTTACATATGTATTTTTTAGATGCTTGAATTGCTGCAGCCTAGCCTTTTTGTTAGCTGGATCTCCTACTTCCACTAGAAAATAGAAAAACCAATTGCCATTTTCTCTTATACCTGATGAGTGGTTGCTGCTATGTGACCACTAGTACCTCCCTCTTAAGGGCTGGGCAACGCGCACCAAAATTGTCTTACTTGGCCGAGGGTCTATCAGAAAGAGTCTCTGTACCTTCTCAAGGTAGGGGTAAAGTTGTGTACACACCACCCTTCCCAAACCCCACTTCTGGGATTACACTGGGTATGTTGTTGTCTCACACACAGCTGTCGGCTAACTATATCCAAACAAAGCAGGACTTTATTAAAGAAGGATGGTTCTGTAGCCCTCACCTGGGTGGCTTCTCCTGTTGCTGTAGAAGATTTAACTTTGCATTTGAGCTAGATCTAGTTAGATGCTCTCTGCAGAGGCAGTGACCATACGCAACAGCTACCTCAGTCCAATAACTATTAGGTTCACTTTGTTATCTTTTCTCTTTCAGGTCCATCTTATCCCAATTTACAGAGGAGCAAATGAGTAGATATGAATCTTTTAGGAGATCTGGATTTCAGAAATCCAACATGAAGAGGGTATGTTTTGCCATCCATCCCATTATATCATCTTTTTCCTCCCTTTTTGCATGTTCTGAATATGATCTGTACTATTATAGACAAAGCACTATAGATGATGTCAGAGTTGTTTTCTCCTCTACCGTAGCTTATCTGTGTGTTTGTTTCGTTATTCATGTGCGTGTTGCTTTTTGTTTGCTTGATCTGGGGAAGGGAGTTTCCAAAAAAGGTTATACTGAGAAAATGGGCAGAACTTCATTTCTCTATCAACTGATCCTCTAATGTGGCTTTCCAATCAATATGGTCCGACCTTGCCCCGACCCTGTGCATAGTGGGAGCTTAGTGAACTCAGCTTCCCTTTTCAAGAAATGGTATGTAGATGATAGACTAGTGTCTGAGATAGGACCCTACACCCAGTAAACCACATCAATTTCCTTGTATTCATCGCTGATACTCACAAAGTATTCATGTCTGATACTCAAATTATTCGTGTCTGATACTCACAAATTTCCTGATATAGTGTTCCTAGTCTCTTACCCTCCTCTATGAGAGGACTTCTATTTGGAAATTCTCTTACGTGCAGTCTCATGCTAGTTTTGGTTTGATTTTGTTTTAAATTAATAGGGCCTTCTTTTCTTGGATTTCTTCTGTCGCTAACATTTAGCCATTTAAGTAAATAGTGTTGTCTTTCAGTAAAAATATAATGTCCGAACAAGAACATGATAGAAAATTGTTGAAAATACATGTGGGCAGAATAATCTTTTTCTTTTATTGTGACCTTGTGGCCATTGAGATGTTTACTTGTCTTCTCTTATACTTTTCCATGCATGATTTGATATGATTTGCTTGAGTTGAGATGGGAAACTCCCAATTGTATGTTTACTTCCAGAACCCTCTGCCATCCCCCTTAAACCCTATTCTCCACTCTTGTTTTTTTTTTACACGAACCCTGAATAATTCTTGCCCCAACTTCACTCTTCCCAATCAACCCTTTATCCCCACACACAAAAAACACACAAAAACCACAGTAAAAATATTCATAGAACCACCAAAATCCTTTTGGACCTTTCTCAAATAGTTTAGCTAATGGCCCTGTAGTAAGCAGGAGTTTGACCTTTGCTCGGCTGCTCCTATGGCTTCAGTGCCTTACAACACTTCTTTTGTATTGGGGAGTTTTAGTGCCAATAGGGTCTGTCTTAAAAGTACTTTCTTTCCTAGGAATAACATCAAGAATGGATTTTTATAATCTGGGTTAAAGTGGAAACAGGATAAAAGAGATGCTAGAGTAGTGGTTAGAGATAGCTTCTGCTGTATCTGAAAAGGAAGCTTCTGGGAGTTCTGGGGAGACCCGTGAGTATAAGGCTGAGGTGGGGTTTCATTTTCTTTTGTATAGTTTTGAAGTTTTGGTTTGTAATTTTCAGTTCTTGCCTTCCCAGATCCCATTTTGTGGGACTAGCTGGGTATATTGTTGTTGTTTGAGTTGAGATGGCCTTGTTACGTGGTGTTGGACCAATCCCTAACATTAGCCTATTGAAGCACAGTTTTTTTGTCTTTCATTACACACATGAAATGTTAGAATTCATTTTCTCAATAGACGTGTAACTGTCAGATAATTGAGAATGAAGCCAAATCTTTGTGAATATATGAGGACCTTGTGCAAGCCTTAGGGCCATTGAGATGTTTGCTTTTCTAGTCTGACAATTTGTTGTGCATAATTTAATTTTTGTCGTGACTCTTCTTCTGTGTTGTCGATTCAGTTGCTGTCCAACATCACAGGAAGTGCCAAGATATCTATTCCTATGACAATTGTGGTGTCTGGGATAGCAAAAATGTTTGTCGGTGAGCTTATTGAAACAGGTAAATAGACAGATCCATTTTTTATAGAAGATAATTGATGAAGCAAAACGTTTATCCTTTATTTGGGAATAGCAAGGATAAATTGTGTTTGGAATGATTTTATTTGGTTTCTTTTCTTAGACACTAGTGCACGGAACCAAAATACTTGCCAAACTATCATCAGTTCTTGACCAATTTGCAACAATTAGGCATTAAAAGCCTAAGACCCGTAATACTATCCATTACTGAGCATGTTGGTTAACATTCATTGGAAACACTTAACTCCTTTAAAAGTAACAAAGAGTGGCTCTAAAATGTCTTCTATGTACTCACACATCGTACCTATGCTAATTAAGCACCCGCCAACGTGTCTGAAATCGCATTTGATGTGTCTGACTGGTTAAGGATGTTTGGCACTACAACTAGGGAAAACGTAGGACCTTTTAAGCAAGAAAAATAAAATGACTCTCCTGCCTCAGTGTTGGCCCAGGCACTGGCCCCTCCTTTGTTCCTAGTGGTCTCTGTTACCCTCTACCTGTAAAAGCTCAATGTCACATTCTTTCTCTGCTTTTCCTTTCCCTTCTTCAAAAGAATCAACTGAATGTCTCGAAACCTAGGTGAACTATGTTTGACCAATTTCCAGTCTAATTATGCAGTAAAGAGTTGCCAATCTTTAGTGTTTCAAGGTGGAAATGTCCTCAGTTAAAGAAAGTTGAAGGGCTATACTGCATTGATTTTCTCCAAGTAATGGTGCTCAATCATCTTACCATACATTTTGCAGCTAAAATGGTGATGGCAGAGAGAAAAGATACAGGGCCAATCAGGCCATGTCACATAAGAGAAGCATACAGAAGGCTAAAACTTGAAGGCAAGATTCCAAAAAAGTCAGTGCCAAGGCTTTTCCATTAGTGGACATGGAAGCAACCTGTAGTTTTATTTCAGGTTCGTTGTCTTCCTTTTGTTTACAAGTCCTTTAATGTGTCTATTTTGAATTGTCGCAAATCTTTAATTTCCTGGCACTTTCAGGTCAAGTAAACATTTCTAGTCACAAAGTTGTCACAGTTCAGCGGATGCTTTTACATTGCCCTATTATATGTAGGGTTAGCCTGTTTATTTAATTGCTTAATCAGAGGAAAGAGTTTAACTAACATTTTGTGAAAATATTCGTACTGCCCCCAACCAGGAAATGACACTATGGGAGGGAGAATAAAAAGATCGCAGCATCTTGGCTATTTAATAACAACATCATTGTATTTGTTGGCAAAACATCACATTATTTGTTGACCATGTAGTGCATTTTTCAATGCACTCAGACGAAAGAGAAAATGTGGAGTGACGGACAACAATGCTCCTTCATCCACCATGTTGTGTGGAGGATGCAGCAAAATGGACCTAAACTTTGTTGAGTAGAAAAGGAACCAAAAGACAATTCAGATCAGTTTGATTGTTCTTCTCTTTGATTCTCACCGTTGGCATTGACGTTCATTTTCAAATAATTTGTTCACATGCTCTTTAAGTTTTTATAATGCTTCTCATCCCTTGTTTTCCATTTTCTCATATTTGTAGCAGTCAGCCACTTTCCTTGCAGAAAGGCGTAGGATGAGCTTGTAAATCTTGGACGAAAAGATTGGACGAGGTGTACCTTTACAAGATGAGGCTTTCGCTTCTCTTTGTGATGCTGGGGTTTCTTCGAAGAAGTAAATTTCGAGAGGCATTCAGCCACCATGGGAAGAGAGCTCTCACCTTGACGGAAGGATTGGCAAGACGAAGATCCGGAACAATTGTAGCTTAACTGTGTAGTTTGTAGTGTTGGTACATTGACTCATTGAGTTTCAGCTGTTGCTTTCATTTTTCCCTTTTTCAGAAGGGCATACTTAGGATACATGAAATCATGAAAAATAGTAGAAAACAGATTGAGTTAAGTGGCATTCCAAGTTTATTGTCTCTTCTCCACAACCTAACTCCCCCGACCCCTACTTGATCATCCCAACCCCCACTTTCGATTCCCCCCCCCCCCCCCCCCCCTCACAGTGTTTTTTAAGATAGCATATAAATAGTATTGGAATAATGTTTTCTTGCTTAACTTACCAAACATTAGAAAATAAGTTAGAAATCTACTTGTTTTCCGAGAAAATCATTTTCCTTTCATACCAAACACACCTGGATATCGAGAAGTTCAATAATTTGTAAAGTGTATTACATTAAATTATACTCCAATGGATTTTTATCAGAAGCCCATTACATGTATGTATATTAGCCACTTTAGTTAGTTGTATCTCCATATACAACGTTGCGCGTGTACCCCATATTAGTGAATAAATAAATAAATATTATATAAGTGTTATAAATTTATATGGTCGAGTAACTTATCTCTTGCGTCTTTCTAGTACAAGTATTAATTTTGTCATGAAATAAAAAAAATTATATTTATTGATTATCTTTGTTATTTGGATACTATAGAGAAATTATACTCTTTAGTTGTGTCGTGTGTGAAGACAATCACAAGAATGTTATATACATAAGGACTGTATATTATAGTTTTTTGATATATAAATTATTTGCTTTGGCTTACAATATTTTCATAAGGAATTATAGTTATGTTACCTATAAATAGTAAAAGGCAAAGGCTTAAATATTCCATCAAACTTTGAAAAAAGGTTGATTGATGCTATCCGTTAAAAGTTTGACTCATTTATGCCATTTTCATTTGAGAAAAGGCTTATACATGCCATTATTTGTTAATTGAAATGACATAGATGAGCTAGACTTTAAACGGATGACATAGATGAGCCTTTTCTCAAAGTTTGATAGCATATTTGAGCCTTTTCCTTTTAAAAAAATGATTTAATTAATGGCCTGACTGAATCATAATTTGACCTGACCATGTGTAAAAAATGGTTTTGCAAAACAAAAACTTTTTTCAATTAGTAAAATAATGGCATGAATGAGCCTTTTCTCAAACAGAAATTGCATAGATGAGGAGATAATATCCCAGATGGTCACTTAACTTTGCATACTTCACTTATGAAGTCACTCAACTTTGAATTGTTCACTCAGAAAGTCACTCAACTTTATTTTATAACTCAAAAGTCACTCAACTATTGATATTTCACTTAAAGTCACTCAACTATTGATATTTCATTTAGAAAGTCACCGAACTATTGATATTTCACTTAGAAAGTCACTCAACAAATTTAAATAATTTATTCATTAACTTTTGTTAAAATATAATTTTTATTTTAAATTATTTTTTAAGAAATAATAAGATATTTATTTTAATTATCTTATTGACCTTCTTTAGTTATTTAATTACAATTTTTTGAAAAAACGAACAATAACATTTTTTAGCACATTTAATTCCAGTAAAACAATTGCGAGAACAAAAAATCAATTTTTTTCTCTTAATTGCTACTGTACATTTAAAATAGCAATCTTTTATTATTTCTTATTAAATTATAAGCAATGCTACTGTAGGTTTTAATTTTAATTTTTCAATTGCAACTATACGTTTTAAATAGAAATCTTTTACTAAATTAAAAGGAGTAATAAAAAAGATGCACAATAGCGATCTTTTATTATTTTTAAAAATATATATATTTCAACAAAAATCAATAAAATCATTAAAATGAGCATCTTTTATTTTTTAAAATTAGCTTAAAATGAAATTGTATTTCAACAAAATTTAATGAAGAAATTATTTAAATTAGTTTGATGATTTTTTAAGTAAAAATATCATTAGTTGAGTGACTTTCTAAGTGAAATATCAATAGTTGAGTGACTTTTGAGTCATAAAACAAAGTTGAGAGTGACTTTCTAAGTAAATTACTCAAAGTTGAGAGTGACTTTCTAAGTAAAGTAGTCCAAGTTGAGTGACCATCTGAGATATTAACTCCATAGATGAGCCAAAATTTTAATAAATGACATAAATGAGTTTTTTTTTCTAAGTATTGACATATTTGAGTTTTTTTCCCATAAATAAAAGACGAAATTTGCGGTCAAGTTTTGATCACAATTTTGGATAAACTTCATTAAATAAGATCAAAAGTCAAATCTTGATATAAGGTAAGTAGGTTTATTGTAGCCATTTTTCATTGTTGACCAATAAACAAAATAGTTTCTTAAATCCTTTTTCCAAAATTTAAAGTGGAAAAGAAATTTTCCATTTTCAAAATTGGAAATAAACATATGGCAAGTACTTAATGATTTAGGTATTATAAAATGTCACAATAAGAAACATTCTAAAGTCAAAAAGAACAAAACTTTTCTTTACACAAAAAAACATGGCTAAAGCTTCAATCATTCTATTTTATTTGGCCATTTTATTGATCTTTTCATCTGGTTAGTCACTCTCTTAGACTCTATCACTCACAAAAATATATTTTTTCAAATTAGACCATTAAAACAATAAAATTAGATTTTTTATTAATTGTTTCGCTTGTGAATATTTGAATTCTGAATCTGTCTCTATCATACGATTAACATTCAATTCTCGTTTATATTTTTGTGGGAGGTGCTAATAATTTTTTTTTTTTGAATTATCAGATGTCATTATGATGGGACAAACATGTACTTTGGCATCAGAGTGTCCATCTCTATGTAGGATTGGAATTCGACAATGTGTTAATGGTGTGTGTATTTGTTGTGTTGGTCCAACATGTCAAGGTGATCAAGAAAACATTAACCTAGGTCAAATATTATGACCTTACAAGATTCTTCTAATTAGTTATTAAAGCTACTTAGACCTTGGTTATATGTAAATCCAATGATATAATTATTGGATATTAATAAAGATTATTATTATTTTATCGAAAGAGTTGGGTATTTATAAAAACTTTCATATTTTAAAGTTTTGAATAGTATCTTTATAACTCACAATCATTATATTTGACCAATGTTACTGCCAATCTAGCATTTATAATCGTCATTAATTAGTTTTAAAACTATGCTTAATCAAACGAGCAATTATATATTACAACACTATGTGAATTAAATTCTTTAATATGTAATAAATATAATATTTAATTAGTGTAGTCTTCCTTGAATTTGGTACTTATTAGGAGTTGGGGGAACAGTACGTATAGTGTCGAGATATTTTTGTACATTTAGCCATAATATAGGAATTAGGCGATTTTTTCAACTTTTCGTGCATGCTATTCCATGAATATTTGGTGAAATGGCTTCTTGAGTTCCAGGTGATTTTTTTAAAAATACTTTACAAGACCCTCCGTAAGGAGTTGTGGGAGCAGTATGTATTATCTCTCTTTATTTTTATGAACAATTGGGTCTTGCCCGATTTAATCTTTAAAAAAAAAGGAGTTGGGGAGCAATACATACAACCTCACACCAAAAAAAGGAGTTGGGGAGCAATACATACAGCCTCACACCATGATTTGAGGATTTTTTGGGTATTTTGGAACCATTTTATAGGAATTTGGCGATTTTTTTCAATTTTTTGTGTATATTAGCACATAAATATTTGGTGAAATGGCTTCCGGGCAATTTTTTTGAAAAAACTTTACGAGACTCTCCTTAAGGAGTTGGGGGAGCAGTATGTACAGCCGCACCATAAACTGAGTCTTTTTTGGGCATTTAAGAGTCATTTTTATATGAATTAGGCGATTTTTCAATTTTTCGTGTGTGTTAGCCAATGAATATTTGGTGAAATGACTTTCGGGTGATTTTTTGAAAAAAAGTTTACGAGACCCTCTGTAAGGAGTTGGGGAGTAGAACATATAGCCTCATCATGATCTGAGACATTTTTTGGGCATTTAGTGGCCATTTTATAGGAATTATGTGAATTTTTTTTTCAATTTTTCGTGTGGTGAGCCCATGAACATTGGTGAAATGACTTTCGAGCATTATTTTTAGAAAACTTTACAAGACCCTCCATAGGGAGTTGGGGGAGTAGTGCGTATAGCTTCACCATGAACCGATGCATTTTTTGGCAATTCGAAGCCACTTTATAATAATTAGGCGATTTCCTATGAATATTTGATGAAATGACTTTTGGGCGATTTTTTTGAAAAAAATTAACGAGTCCCTCTTTTAGGAGTTGGGGGAGCAGTACGTATAGCCAGACCATCCGAGAAATTTTTGGGTATTTAGGAGCCTTTTATATGAATTAGGCAATTTTTCAATATTTCGTGTGTGTTAGCCCATGA